TCCCGCTGTGCTCCCTGTGCTCAGAGACAACACCTCCCCTTCCCAGCACAGGAGACAGAGGCTGAAAGCACAACCTCCACACCTACATTGCCAGGTGATGCTCCAACAGGAACAGATTTGCAGAGGGAAACAGTGCTATGAACTGGGCACCCAATTTCAGGGGTTTTATGTGGGATGAGCTGCAGCTGATCCACGAACCAACCACCCCTCAGCACCTGCAGGTCATCCAATGTGCTGCTGTAACACAGCTCTGTCCAGCAGCACCCAAAGGAAACCCACTTTCCTTGCTCCAAGACCACCCAGCAACACCGAGCAACGCGTGGTGAGAGCAGGGATAACTGGGAGAACAGATTTCCAAAGGGCTTTCCTGATCTGAACCAACACTGACGGATCTGCACTTATTAAAACCTCAGGAGTTTCACCTGTCACTGCTGCTCTCAATAAAAACTCAAAGCATGGGGGATTTTTCAAAGATCTCTCAGAGTTCAGCTGTGGAAATAGGAACAGAATCTCAACTTTCACTGGTATCAGCAATTAATAGGACCATGTTTCCTCATAAAATGGGTCAGATGTTGCAAAAATAAGGACAGCCAAAGAAGAACAAACAAATAAAGGCTGACAAGACAAATACACAGCGAGCATCTTCTCTGTCTCTGTGTGCCAAATCATCTGCAGATCATCAAAAATTACTGCCCTTTGAGAAGTGGTCCAGAGATACACAGTCCACAGATCAGGCTGAGGGCAAAAGGCCAACAGAAAGGACAGAGCTGGTGAGAGGAATTGCGGAAACTGTCTGTGTGCAGATACAATTTATGCTCCCAGGGGCTGGTTTTTATTTTGTTTGGGTTGTGGGTTTTTTTGGGAGGTGTGTGTTTAAGTTTTGCTCTGGGGGTTCTATTTTTTAACAGATACCTCCAAGTTATACACATGAAAATACACTTAAAGCAGCTGCCTCGTTAATGTATCTTTACTAAGTTCCCATTTCAGAAGATTTCATGCTGACTTTTAAGCTGCATAGTCACCATAAACAGTCCCAGACCTCCATGGAATTAATTTCTCCATCTCAGGCTTACAGAGACATTAGTTAATGTAAACTGTAGTATATGACTAATAAATATAAAGAGCACAAAGGAAAACACCCACATTGTTCAAACTGTGGTCTGTAATATCCCATCTTACCACAAAAATGATAATGAGACAAGAGAAACAGTTCTGGAAGAGAGAGGGGGAACTTGCTTTGTATTTTGTCCACACTTTGGCAAAAACATTTCCAAGTAAGGAAGACAGAAATCATTTTTATAAGAAGCAACACAGCAGTGTGATAGATTTTTTCTTAATTTTTTTGTTGTTGTTGTCATTAAAAAGGAAAATGAAGATTGTAAAATGGACAAGAAACTGTTGGTAGGGGAAACACAACCATCAGGATGGAAAACTAAGAACTAAGCCTCAATCCATACAGAAGAAAGGAATAAACTGTGCTGCTTCCACTATAAATATGTTCTATCACTGCTGAGGATGTACTGCATGTCAACCAGGTCACAGGTGTTCTGAGTTTTCATTTGTTCAAATCTTCAGACCACAGACAGAGCACTGAAAATTAGTTTCTTGACCACATCTCTACAGAGACTCTTAATAAAACAGTTTCAATGAAAATACATGTTTTAAAAAAGAGGTGACATCAGTGGGTTCTTTGGGCTTTTTGTTGTAGCAGAGAGGTCAAGAACTAGTGGGTGAAAACAAACAATACAGAGGAAATGAATTCTGGCTTGATGTGACAATGCTACATTATCTGTACAGTAAAAACTCATAAAATCCTCCCATTTCCACTTTTATTGAAGGAATCCCTGTCATTGCCTGCCCAGCCCAGACCCAGCAGCGTGTTGGGAAACACACCCAGCATGGACCAGGCTATTCCAAAACCTTAGCACAGGGCTAGAATTCAACATTCAGAGGAAAACTGCCTGGAAACAAATGGAGGGAAGACAGGACAAAACAGTGGAAAGAGCAAGAGTTGCACAGATTAGCGAAACATAATGATCTGCTTTAACTGATTTCTCTGATTTTTATTCATGTAAATTAGAAAACTAATGAGAAACTCTTCCTTAGCTCCTTATTATCTTTAAGCCAAATGTATTTCAAAGCTGAACTACAGCAGAATATTGCACTTTGGGGAACCATCTAAAAGAGGGAAAACTTGCTGTTAAAAATGACAAATTTTAACCATTTAGGAGAGAATTAACAACAGGCCCTTAATCAGGAACACGAGTTGATCACATTTATGTTACTGTAACTAAAAATATTCTTGCCCTGAGGAATTTGCTGAGCCTTCAGTGCTAAACTTAAAACAACCTCTAAACATACATAAATACATGTTCTACAATATGCATTCTTCGTATCTTAGTGAGTTTCTATTTGTTGTGGTCTGTTCACCAGGAAAACATTTCTTACAAATCAAACAGAAAGAAAAGCATAGGTTACACTCTGAGTGCAACAATCAGTATCAAAAGGCTGATGAAGCCAAAATTTAACTTAATTGCTTGCTTAATTTAAAGTCTGCTTTCTTAGGGGAACTTTCATACCGTGGTAGATTGAAAAAGGTTTAAATTATTCTATTTTTCACATTCCTCTCGCAGCATTTCCAGGTGCACATCAGAGCAAAGCTCCCAGAGTTAGACAGCTTGCTGGCCTGCTTGACAATGTAAGAAAATCAGAGCCCTAACTCCCTGAAATAATCCTGCCATCATGTTTGCACTGCCACAAAGACAATCAACAGCAACCAGCAAGAAAAAAACCAACAGAATGAGAACTCCTGTTTCAAAAGCACAGTATTTTGGAATAGTTCATGTTTCTATAAATCAACAATAAAACCACAGATATCAAACAGCAAAATGCTTCCTAATAACAGGAGGTAACAAAAATGGCACAAAGGTTGGAAAAGAGCTCCCAGCCCATCGAGTCCAACCTGTGCCCGATGCCCACCTTGTCCCCAGCCCAGAGCACTGAGTGCCACGTCCTGGCATTCCTTGGACACCTCCAGGGATGGAGACTCCACCACCTTCCCTGGGCAGCCCCTTCCAATGCCTGACCACCCTTTCAGTGAGGAAATTCCTCCTGAATCCTATCCCTAGGAGACAGTTAATCCTCCTGAACTCTTTCAAATTCATTTCCAAATTCACACACGACCAAAGACAGACATTTCCCACTATTTATCATCCCCAACTCCCTCTCCAAAACACTTCTTTCCAATAATGCAGCAGAGTTCTGCCTCCTGTCCATGAAATAACACCTCACAACTCCTGGCTGTAAACCTGAGCAGCCATTCTGAGTGTGTTTTTGCTGGTCTATACAGCAGCCACATTAAAATTAAACACACACATTAAGAAAGACAAACTACTTTGGACGGGGACTGTCTCTTGCTGAGCATTTGTGTGGTAATAATGCAATTGCACCCTGGGCCTCTCTGCCACATTCAGGGCATTAAGACCATGGCAAAATTTAATTTATTGTCTTTTGCAAATTCGTAGGGATCCCATAAGGGGGTGGAAAAGAGTTTCATCACTCAACCTGAGCCACGAGCTCTCAGCTGGGAGACAGGAGAGAGTCAGCACTGTGCAAGCTGCAGGAGTCAAGCTACAGAACTGTACAATTTAAATGCAGCCCCAATTATTTTCTGTACACCAATGGAAATCCCTAATGAACCTCTAAATAATTCCTGAACTAGGAAACACTGAGCTATCCTGAGTGGGACTGAGGAAATGCCATTCCACTGGGGACCGAGCACTACAGACCCATCTATGTGGATGTCATGGGTGGCAAAAAACTGGAGGATAGCTACAAAATTTAATATTAACATATGGGGCACAGAGCAAATTGCATACAAGATCCATGGCAAAATCCTGGATGTGTGCTTACCTCAATCAGGCAGGTAAAGCTTTCATTACATGTGCTTGCAAGTCTCTACTTGCAGAAAGAAAACTATTTATTGCAACATCTTTAAAAGGCACCCGTCTTTCACATCCACTTTCTCAGAGGTTTAATCTCAAGAAGTATCAGCTAACATCAAGTTTCACAAAAATACCACAGACTCCATGATTTCACTAAGTACAAGCAACATTCAGGATAGTCAAATATGCTCTAAGGCAACAGCAAATACCCATTAAAAATGCCATGGGAGAGACAAGGGAAAGGCTGGATAATGAGTACACAAAGTGCAGGTGATATGACAGGGAAGGTGGGGAAGAGAGAAGGACAACAAAAAGCCTCATCCTAATTAAGTAAACATATGACAAAGAACAAAACCTGCAAGAGTTGGGTGTGGTTAGTTTATGATTAAATGCTAAATAACGATAAGAATTTGGCAAAAATACAGACTGGGTGAGAGCACAGCATACACAGTTACCTTACACTGCAGCAGCTTTCCATTTCTCAACGTTAGCAGATTTTATTAAATCAGTGATTTTACACAGGTGGATTTTTTTTGTAATTGAGTATTATATAACACAGAAAAATGCTGCTTGTCCTAATATGTAGCTCAAGCCAAAGGTCCTCCCAAACATGCACTGTATGAAAATGAAAGCCAGGGACTCTGGGTTATGAAAAGAAGCCATATGACTAAAAAGTGATTCCATTTTCCCAAACGCCCACACAGACAAGAGCTTCTGATGTGAAAAATGGTCTCTGCAAAAGCTAAATTGCACAGACTATTCTCATGAAAAGTTAGAATCATGCAGATTACACTACATTTACCACGATGAGATTTAAAAAAAAAAACCACCAACTTTTTATGTTACTACAGTATGAACAGTTACTTGACTGTTCAATGTCTGTGATAGAAATATCAATAATTATTTAACTGAAAAATTGCCTTGTTTTAGAATTTACACAAAGATGCTTGCTTAGTTTTTTCCAGGCTTGTTTCCCTCTTGCTGCAGGTGATTTTTGGGTACCTTCAAAATGAGCTGCAACAACATGTGTGTGCCAGCAAAGCAGTTGTGGCTTACCTTGGCACTGGAATCCTTGTTTCCCAAATCCCCTGCATAAAGAAGAAAGAAAGAAAAAAAAACAAACCTTAGTATGTTTAGTTATAATTTCTACCCAAATATCTATAAAAACATAAAAATGGCTTCATATTAAATTACTTCAGGTTTTGCTACGACAGCAACAGATTTTCAAATACACAACACAGACCAGCCCACCCATTTCAAAGCAGAGAACAATAGCTGTCACCAGCTATGTAATTTCAGCTTCTGGCAACAATTTTTTTATTATTATTATTTTACAAGCTATTTTGGATCTACAATTATCATCATCTGTGATTACTGCATAATATTTCAACTCATTTCACGCCACATGTATACTTAACAGCAAGGTAAAATTGTCCAAGTTCCAGCAAAGGCATATAAAACAAACCACACTTGGTTTTTCATCCCAATTTTTGGACTACATACTGGTGTTATGTGCCTCAGCCAGACTCCAGTCGTTTGCTGTATGGAAAGCAGGCAGGCTAAAGGTTTTGCTTGCTCCAATGGAAATGAGGAGACAGGCCCATGATTTTCATACTGATTATTTGTCCAGCTTTCTTGCTCCATTTCCATAAAACCCCACAAACACTTCACCAATGACCACGGTATCCAGAGGTCCAACATTTATCACACCTCTGGCAAATCACCCTGCTGCTGCCTTTATTTATTTGTTGATCTTTAAGCGTTCAACATCCTCTTTCCACAAAAATAACTGTTTTGAGTATCTTCCTTATAAACATTTCCCTGCCTTTCCCCCTCCCCCCCCCTTTGCAGAATGTTTCTCAGCTGGAGCTGCTCACACTCAGAGACAAACAGAGAAAAGCCAGGAGCTGGAGAAGCTGTGTGCAATTAACAGCATGGGGTTTAATTATCAGCTTTGTGGAAATGGCTTTTTTTTTTAAAAAAAGAAAATATAGACACGATTTCTCCACTATTTATTTATTTATTTAGCGAAGAGACAAAACATTTACTGCACCGTTACTTCAGGTGGAAGCTGAAATTACACAGCTCAGAGCGTTTCTCTGCACATTTCTATGCACAGGTCTTTAACTGCTGTTGCTACAAGCAAGCCTAAACCAAGAAAACCAGAAGAAATCTCAAATTATTTGTTTACTTGGCAGCACACGTGCCTGTACTGTCACTCTGATGCTGTTATCTCTCGTCTTCACAAAACTCAAAAAAAGCCTGTACTGGAAGCGTGGAAATGCAATCGCAGGAAAGCTGATGGCAGGACTAAGAACATGAAACAGACTTTAGATTTATTTTTTTTTTTATCCTTCTAAACAGACTTATTTGTAAAGAACGTTCCTGCGTTATCTACTCCAGAAGCACAGGCACCCCTCAGTGTTTGAGCTGAATTCGTGCAGAGTTGCAGCCCGCTCCAATCCCGGAGCAGTTACTATGTATTTTAAGTAAAAGGGCTTTTAAAAAGTATCAATAATGCAGAAACAAAGTAGAGAGGTGAAAATTGCTTCCGAGGATAAAGAGGCACTAAACTATTTTAGTAAATGTCTCATTTAAGGAAAAAAACCATTTGCATAGTTCATTCTTTATACCTTAAAACATATGTTAATTGACACAAGTCATTTTGGAAATAGGTGAAGCCGTTTCTGTGGTGTGAGATGGTTATTCAAGAGCGGCTCACCTTCAAATGAGGAAATGAAAGAAGTTTTCGAGCTGTCAGACGCTCTTCTAATGAATCTTAAGAACTTCCTCAGACTCGCTAAGCAAGACAAGACAAGAGCACAGCCACCCTTGCCACCTGTCAGGCACAGGATACCCTTTCACTTCCAAATCCACCCTGCCAGCCAGGACAGAACTCTGCTTTGTTTCATGATTGCGCTACTTATGTGCACAGACACAGTTCGACAGTAACCCTGCAGCGGTTTTTCACACCTCCCAATTCACTCTTGTTTAAATTAACTTTGAAGCAGTCTCTGAAGGTCTCTCACTTTTACAATACCGAACTCTGCGATTTTTTTTTTTTTTTTTTTTTTGCAACTGTAGAAAAAAAAAAAACGAATAAATAAAAAAAAAAAGGCAAACTCAGAAAGTTGACTTGTTTCTTTTGCAGTCTGACATCTCAGTTTTCCTGCCTTACTCTGCAATTATATTTCAATCAGTCCTGGAGCAATCAGTCTTCGCTTCAGCAGGCAAACAGCAAAACTGATGAAAGGCGGCTAAGGTCTGTGTCCAAGCGAACAAAAACATACGAGATATAACATAAATACATATGAAAAGAGCAAGAAGCGCGCCTTGGACACAGAGCCAGCCGGGCGCGGACCCCTCTAGATCTTCTACAACTTCGGCCAAAACAAATCGCACTCTCGCTTTCAGCTCCCAGACCCGCAGCGCAAACTTCCTCAGCGGAGCAGGGCGGGAGCTCAGCCCCACCTGCGGCGCAGGAAGGGAATCCCGAGCCCTTTCCGCAGGTCCAACACACCCGGGGCTCCCTCCGCTCCTGCCGGGGCCGGGGAGCGCCGGGGCGGCCCGGCCTGCGCGGAGCTGCCGCCCTGCCCCGGCCGGAACACAGAGGTGAGGTTTTTTTCCCTACCAGCCAAGCAGTGAGGGTGTTGGTAGGGAGTTTTCCTGCCCTCTCTAGCAGGAACGCTTCTCTCACAGAAACCACCCCTCCCTTTTTTTCGCCGCGGAGCGCAGCGGCGGTGTCACGGTGCCTTCCCGGCCTCCGCTGCGGGAGGGCACAGGGCAGGCACCGACCGAGAGTTAAGGCTGGGAGACCCAAACTGTGCCACCCAACACCCCTCCAGTGTGACACAGCCACTCCCCGTCCCACCGCGGCGGCTGTGCCGGGCTGAGCCCCCCACCTCGGGCAGGGGCTCCGCGGGGAGCCCAGCCCAACCCAGCCGGGACAAGGGGAAAGGAAACACACATCTGGACCATTTGGGAAGCGACGGCCCCCGCGTGGGTTCTTCAGACCCTGCTGGTCTCTGCAACCCGAGCGCCGTCAAGTTTGGGGGCTCCCCCCGCCCCGAGAGCGCCCAGACTCGGGTCGGGGCCCCCCGAGCGCCGCCGGCCGCAGAGAGCCCGCCGGGAGGGGGATGCGACAGCGCCGGGGGCAGCGAGGGGACACGGAGGGGTCACCCCCGGAGGGGTCACCCCCAGCGGGGTCACCTGCGCGGCCCCGGGGGCAGCGGCGGTGCCCCGGAGAAGCGGCGAGTGGGAGGGAAAGAGGGCGGCTCACCGGGAGCCGGGCACGGCGCGGGCGCTGCCCGCGGCGGGGAATCCCCTACAGCCGAACGGGCCCGGGCGGAGCGAGCGCTGGGAGGGGGAGGGACGCACGGGCGCCCGCGGGGTCTCTCACCAGATGAAGTCGGTGCAGTGGCTGCAGAAGGTGGGCTGCTTGAAGAACCGCGCGATGAATTTGTGCTCCTTCACCTCGTGCACGTTCTTCTGCCTCAGGGCGCCCTTGCGAGCGAAGCGCCGCGCCGCCTCCGGGTCCGCGCCGGGCTCGGAGCCCGGGAACACGTCGGCCATAGCGCCTCCTCCCCACCCCCCGCCGCCGGGAGTCGCCGCCCCGACGTCCGCCCCGTCCGGCGGCCGCCGAGTCTCTGGCAACGGCGGCGCTGGGCGCTGCCTCCCGCTCCGCGCCTGACGTCGGAGCGGAGGAGGATCCCGAGCCCTCCCCGGCTGCTCCGCCCGCGGCTGAGCGAGCCCCCGGCCGGGGCGGGGCGGGCGCGGGGCCGCCCCCGCCGGGGAGCGCCGGGGGGGGCACCGGGAGAGGCGTCAGCACCTGCCGCCCCTCGTCAGCAGCCCCCGCCCCGTGCGGCGATGCCGGCGCGCCCCGCGCACGCGAACCGGCTCCTACTCACATGCACGGGGTGTTCTCTCGCACACCGGGTCCTCCTCGCACACGCCGGGTGTTCTCTCGCACACCGGGTCCTACTCGCACACCCCCGGGTGTTCCCACACTCACCGGCTTCCCTTACACACTCACTCACACACACACACACGCACCGGCTCTCCCCACATGCCCCGACTCCTCTCACACACACCAGATCCCTCCAAAACACACCGGTTCTCCCTCTCTCTCTCTCTCTCTCACATCCACCTACACAGGCTTCCCTCACACACACGCACACACACACACACAGAATCTCCCTTCTCACACACACTTGCACACACACTCACAGGTTCCCTTAACACACACACACACACACACAGAGGTTCCTCTCACACCCCAGCACACAGATCAGCTCCTCTCACACCCCCTCAGCTCCCTCCATGCACACACAGAGGGCAGTCAGCCCCTTCTCTCTCCCTCACAGCTGCCTCCCTTCACGCACAAGGCAGATCACACACAGTGTTTCCTCAGTATCAGCCATGGAAACCCACACCTTCCCTCCCTGCCAGGCCCTGGCACCTCCGGGACAGTGACCCTCCATCACTGCCTCCCTTCACCCGTACTCAGCACAACTGCTACACCGTGCCATGGGCACCACCATCAGCGTGACAGAGAGCATGGATAACCTGTACTCAAAGGTGCTACACCGTGCCATGGGCACCACCATCAGCGTGACAGAGCGTGGATAACCTGCACCCAGCTGCTCTCTGCCGACTTTGCCACACACGCTTCCTGCACCTACCCCGAGACTCGTTGTTCCTTCACCACAACAAAACAAAGATGCAGCCACACACTTTCCTCTGCACTCCTTTCCCCTTCCTGCAACTCACAAACCCCAGAGCAGATGTGAATGCTCTCAGAGGCCACCCCAAGCAGCTGTGCACCACACAGGACCCACAGGATGTCTTGCCCCACTGCACTGTGCCATGTATCTTTATAGATCAATATAAACATCCTTCCATATTTTGTATTTCAATACAAATATCCTTAACAAAAAGCTAGAAAACACACACCAAGTCTGTTTCACTAATCAGAGCATCCAACACACACAGACTTTTACCATGGTTTTCTACAGTGCGCCAACAATAGCATTAAATAATACTATTAAATAATAGACCTGTTCTTCTTCATTTACTCACATTACACACAAGATGTTCACAAGTCCCTGGACACAGAAACATCTGCCCATGCCATACATCCATGCTCTCATATAGCAATTCATACTGTATCTCCATACATTCAGAAAGACACGACATAAATCATGACTGTGTTAACATAAAACCACAATATATATGTTAAACAAAGAAACCAAGTACTAATCATATTGTTTTTAATAAATGCTATTCCCGTGGCTACAAACTTTCACATATGAAAATGCACATAGATGCATATTAAAAGTTCTACCCCATTATATCTTACATACTTATAAGTCTGTCTGTGTAAGCATGTGTAACATATTTTATTTCACAAGAATGAAAGCCGCTAATTAACTCAAATTAAGTCTTACTTGCTGATGGGGAAAGTGCCCATGGACATTTACCACAGAACAGAAAGAACTTGTTACATACTATCTTACTCTTAATTTAAAAACCCTGGTTTCTGGGTGCAGCCTGGTAGAACTGGAATGCCTAGGGCCTTTCACTAAATAACTAATGAGAGGGATAGCCTGACTTTTTTCTAAACTTAGAGAATCACACCAGATGCCCTAGAAACTGTTTCCATATGTCCTTGCTTCATGGATTTTATTTTGCAAGCAACTACTCCCAAATTTGATCTGAAATTCAATAAAACATAAAGATTTTTAATTTGGTTTCCACCTATTCTGCACATGTTTCAAAACCCTTCTTCTTCTTCTTCAGGAATAGATTTTTCTTGCCTTAATCAACTTATGCCAAAGCATGAGTAGCACCAAGAAACATTCTGTACTCTCGTTAAGTGTTCTGTCAAGAAATACGGAACGTGTTTATTTCTGTTCCTTTCGTGCTGTGTCACAAACAGAGCTACCACAAACGGAGAGAGTGAACCGGACACGACTTGGATTACATCAGGTTTGGAGCAATCTGGGCATTTCACTGCTCCTTAAAGTCTCACAAAGCTGCTGAATCATTTTGGATTCCAGTTGCTTGCTGTGAGTGACTCTGGACCAGACTGACTCACTGAAACACTGGCGGGTGCCCCAGGCTCTTTGCTCATGTCAGGCCCCAGGGAAGAGCCAAATGACACCAGTCATGACACTACATGATCACATTAGGATCTCTCTGCAGAGAACTATTTCATCTCAAACCCAGCAATTATTTGTACATTGTGATTATACACATCAGGCAAAGAAAAATCTATTCTGTGTGCAGAGCCATCCCCAGCCAGCCAGGTAAACCCTTACAACCCTTACTGCATAAAATGTACAACTCCTCTTACTGCTGTGTTTTGGATAAACACCACTTACACTATATATATATATATATATATTTTCACCTTCAAATGGCAAGATTTGTCACCATGAGCAGGATCCAGGAGGCCCTTAGAGCAATACCATGAGGAGATAGCATGTTCCAGCAACAGACACTGTTGGGATACGCTGTTGTAACACCATCATCCTCTTGCCTGGACACTCATTTTTCCTGCTCTGCATTCAGGTCCTGTGGGTGATACAGGAACTCATCCTTCCTCTGCAAAGAACTGGAGGAAAGACATCTGCCCCCTCTTCCTGTGTGCACACATTCCCCCCAGCAGCCCATGACTTGCTCTTCTGCCGAGGGTAGTGTTTGCAATTTGGTTCTGATTCAGGCCATCTGGACGAGTAGTCAGCATTTTTTTGCTGCTTGTGTTCAGGCATATATGTGGTTATTAAATCAGAGCACCAGCTTCTCCAATCTCCCAGCAAGCAGCTTCAGAACTCCTGACTCCAAAGTGCCATTTATGGGGGCTTCTCATATTGAATTTCCTCCTGTGTGACTATTTGGATGATATCCTAGAGAGCTTGTCCCTGATGAAGGTGCCCATTGGATGGTTTATGAGCTTTTCTTTAAAGAATTTGATTATTGCTGTAACAAGCATAACTTCTCAAGTCCTTTCTGTATTTTCATCAATACCATCCCAGGCCTGTAAGTACAAGCATCTGGGTTCATTTTGAAGGAGGTTTCTCGTGAAATGCCTTCGCTTTTTACTCATCTGCCGGATCAGCATGATACTGCCTGCATCATTTTTTAATCAAAAGGCAATTAAAAAAGTGTCTCCTTCCTAAGGGAGAAGTGTCTGGATCATTCTGTTCCTATTTACAGGCTCTGCACTGTGTCAGATCCACTCAAAAACCGAGCCAAGGAGAACACCTTCATCAACTGCTTCGGCAATTGGGACTATTTTATTATTTCCTGCTTGTGAGGAATATCCAACAAACCGGAATCACTTCCTGCTGGAGGCCTTTAAGGGAGTTCACAAACTAATTTGTCCTCGCACTTCAAAGCAAATCACAACCACTTCCCTCTCTGGAGAGTTATGAGAACAAGTACCTATTTTCTAGAGCCCTTCTGGGAAGGATGGCTTGATCATTGCAAAATTGCTGTCTAAAAAAATGCTTTGCTTCACCCAGTCTCATCTTCCAAAGGAATTTCCACAGTCAGCTCATGAGACATCTCTACAAGCAACTACTGGGGGATAATCCCTTGCCGTAGTTAAGTCAAAACCTGTTATCCATTTCCACTAATTCGCAGTATAACTTAAGAAGCCAGGTTTTCCTAACTTCCTTTTTCTGTGGAATATAAATTTTGTTTTTCTCTTTGTCTGAAATCACCAGTTTAGTGTCGAGGTTCCCATTCATAAATTTGTCTTGTTTTGACCAATAACAATTAATTTTGAGATCATGCTCACTACTGCCTGTGGTTTTTCCATATTCTACTGCACATTCTTCGACAAAACTGTTTATTGCTCTTGCCTGGACACTTTGGCAACAATACACCCTTCCCAAAAAACAGAAAAAGGTAAGAATGTGGTAACATAAATAGATATATTTCTGTGAGTATTTGTCTGTCTGTTATCCCAGTCATGAGAAGGAAGTAGAAATATTTTGTCTCTTTCTATCAACACTCGTTTCTGCATCTTTCTGTGTCTTTCTCTATTTGCACAGCTCTACCTGTGCCTCTGTAGTTACAGTGATTCTCCTCTCTGCCCTTTTCCCCTCAAAGTTACTCAGAGTTCAGATTGACAAGTACTGGGTCATTAGACAGGTTTTATTATCAAATTATTCCATCTGAGAACTTGTTTACATTTGCCATTACTAATGGGAAAGTCTGAACACATGGATTAAAACACGGGCAAAAAGAACACTAAGTACAAAAAAGAAACCCTAAGAGAGATGAAATGTCACAGAAAAAATATTTCTGAAAAAATTCTGGGAAAAAAAAAAATGACCCATCATAATAATTAACCATTTCTCAGGGATGAAATTGCAGTTCCTCGACATGTCCTAATCAGGAAAATCCTCCTTCTCTTTGTGACCTGTAAATGATGCCATTATTTCAACTTGAGTTTCCTTGAAAGTCGTGCAAAACTCATTCCTCATGCAGATAGCTTGGAGCTGCCTGCACATTACCCTCACAGCAGCTCTCCAAAGACTTGGAAATAAATGGCTGATGATATACAGAACATTGAGTGTAAAACAGTTTTTTTGTATGTGTTCTCATCAGAATACTGAGTGACAGCCCAGTGTTTCTTTTCTCATCTCTCAGGAGTATGAGG